TTGTCCCCAGAATTTATTGGATTTCTTGTTGAAGCAGTATTTTAGGGTTTGAGAGGAGATTGGCAGGGAACGGGAAAGGAATTCAAAGTTCTTGGCAAAGAGGGCCTGTGCTAATAAAGCATATCACTGCAAAAATATAAGGAAAAAAAGAGAAACTATGCATTAAGAAATTTTCTCTATATTATGCAAAAATAACCATACTAATTAAAAACATCTTACTTTCTTCAATTTATTTTTCACCTAGAAATTTGACTTCATTGTAAAAATAGACATAATGTCCTAGGTAGCCAAGTTTTTGAAATATGTATCTGTCAGTAACTTCCCATAAAAAGGACTATTACTCATCACAGCAGAAGCACCTGTATCTAATGATGCCATACCCAGTAGCCAAAGTGTACACTTTCACAAATAAGTTCTCTGGCAGAGGTGAGTGAGCATGGAATGTGCCCAGGTTAGTCCTGGCCATAGGAGACTAGGAGGAGCAAAGGTTGGAGGCAGAGCAAAAGAAAACTTGTGCTCCCTAAATACAACCTTGTTGTTACAAATACATCCCTATGGGTCTATCTACTCTAATGTCTTAAGAATAGAGTTCAGAAAAGACTACTCTCAAAGACAAAGTGAAATGGACATAAGAATTCAGTTTCTGTTCCTGGTCTGAATACAAGTTATTTAACTGGGGATGTTAGAATTCTCTGAACTGCAGAACTGGAAAAAATGGTTGCGACACCTATTTCATGAAGTTGGTAATAATAATATAACACCAGAAATAATACCCTCCTCACCATAGTGCTGTCAGAACTGAATGAGTGGGTGTTGCTACTCAATGGGTGTGTGGAGCCACAAAATCACTGCTCAATCAGGGGGCTCCTGCCCCACCCCAGCTCCTCTAAAAATGAAGGAGTTAAATTTCCAGCGATGCATTTTTGCTGGAATTCAACTGGAAACATCATAATTGTACATGCAGGATATGAAAGGCTAAGCTCTACTTTGTGTTATAGAACAGAACCCTACCCAGACACTGACACTGTTTAACTTCAAACACTCAAATAAAAATCTAAAGTATCATTTTTGAAGAAGGATTCCTTGATTCTTATTTCCAAGCTGGGCTTATTATGGACTTCCACAGTGTCTTTAGTTTTATGAGCAGTTGGTTAAGGTATGTGCCAAGATGTTGACAAACCTTTCTCATAAGTAACTTAAAACAAAACTTTCTCATAAGTAACATAAAAAATGGGGAGGGACTTTTTGTGAAATCAAGAGATACTGCACCCCTTCTCTAGGAAATGAAGTCTTTAAACCATAGTAAGAATAGAACCTACTCTACGAAAAGCACCTTTCTTTCACCTTTGATCAGTTGCTTGTGTTGATATGTGTACCATGTATGCGATACATAATATGCCCTTAGAGTAACATAAGACAGCAACAGGCTTATTAAGTAAAATACACTCCCAGGTAATCGCGCCTTATATTGACGACTGTTATTTGTTTATTTGTTGTTTTAGCCCTTGTTTTGCATTTTTAATTATTTATTTTTTTACAAAAGACAGCTCTTAGTTGGAACTAAGGTAAAAGCACAGGTCTGAATTTGAGGATCATGCTTACCTGATTCATGCTCAGAGTGAGCTGATCATTTGGGATCATACTGAGGATTTAAAGCATCTAGCAGTAAGTATTTAAGAGGAAACATTTAACAGCTATTGAAATTGACATATAAATATCATGTAAAGAAACTGAGCAAACATAACCTATTGCTTTACAAATCACAATTCACTCATCTGCAAGTTTTGGGTTGCTTCTGTTTTGGATTTGAGGCATATATGATCAGTGCCCTATAATTAAGCAAGTTATATTTTCCTGTGGATCTTTATTACTCAAAGTGTGATCTTGCATTAGATCATTAGCATCTCCAGAAGCTGTGGGAGGGCGTAGATTCAAGGGCACTATCACAGACCTCCATCATCAGAACCTGCATGTCAACCACCTCCTCTGTAAGTCATATGCCCATTAAATTCTGAGAAGTACTAGCACCAGATTCTCAACTTCCTATTACATGATTAACCACATATGCAGTGCTCTGTGGTAATGCCAAGAAGGACAAGGCCACAGAAACAAAGACAACAACAACAGCAAAAAACCACACAGGGACTCGAGGAACTTATGGTTTGGCAAAACTGGGAAGAAAAAAAAATGAAAGCAAGAAAACTGTTTCTACACAAAAGCAGTCAGCCCAGAGCGGAAACACTGAGATTAGTGGAGAAAGGATTGATAAATTACAGAGGGGCTGCTGGTCTACCTATGCGATGGCACACTGGACTTAAGCACATGGGCTAAAATGAAACAGCGGGCATGTTTTCACAGCGACACTAGGCTCTGAGCTCCAACCAAACACCTGGCCGTTTGAGAACTATTCTGCCGCTGCTGGACCATCACAACCTTGTCACCATATTTAATGAGCGGGAGATATTGTAGAATCTGAATATCCCAATATGGAGTGGGCAGTCAGAGGCCGTCGTGTGGAATGTTCTCACAGTCAGGGAGGAAGTGAGTCATACCTTCTCCACCGTTAAGCAGGGTGTATGTCGATTTTTCAAAAGCATTTATCGTAGATTAAGCCCTTCATCATCCTTCATCATGTTCACTTTTGCTACAGGAAATATTACAAGACCATCCTTCTTTTATGGCTTTTCTGTTAATAGTTTATTTTAAAAATAAAATATTTTTGACTCTTCCTCTCTTTGGAGATCTGTATAAACAAGTTAAAAGAAATGGGAATTTTCCTTTACAAAATATACTTGGAATAATGTTAAGTCACTCTGTCAATTGGCTCAGGTCCAGGGACTGGTTCTCTCTCAGGGAGCACTGAAATCCTTGTGTAATCACAAGATATGGGTGTTGATTTAAAGCCCAATTTACTGACAGATGTGTGAGATGATACATGGAAACCTCTCCACTGTGGCCTGTGAAAATGCTGAGGAGTAACAGTAATATTACAGAGGAATGACAATGATGTGCCTATAGTCACTTTCTCCTTTTATATGATCCATTTGCTCATACACAAATTTATTTTTGTGATAGTGATATATAAGATTGTACTCTTATTTATATATGACTGTTATAAGATAAATGTCAAAATTACACAAACTTAAAGGTCTACCTTGTGAGGAAAACTGATGTAAAATTATTCCTTACTTCTGTATAAAAGAAAAAGCAGACATGTCTTTACATGCTAAATAGCAAGTGTTCTATGAATATATCAACTTCAAACCGAGGAAGTTTTAGAAAAGAAAAGCAGCAGGGAGAAAAATCATTGTACTGAAAGATGTTCACATGATTACCTTTATTTTAAAGTAAAAATATTTGCCTTCAAACCTCTGATCTCACTCAATGTCATATTTTAAAAAGGTCACAATGTTTTACTAAGTTAAGAATCACTGAGTTTGAACATACTGTATGAAGAAAACTTTAGATTTGCTGAAGGATCTTCTGCCTGAATTGGAAGTTCTGAAAAATCTGCTTTTTCATATGAAGGATAAAACTTCTCTGCTTTGGATCAGGGTTTTCATGGAGCCCAGAGGAGTTAATATCGCCTGCAAAATGTTTAGGAAGAAGTTAGAGATTGCGAATTGTGAGCACCCTTGTCTCACAATTGTGAGACACTTGTCTCTGAGACAACTCAGAGAGACTCTGCCCTCTAGTGGACTGTCCCAAGTGGATTCCGAGAAAAGCTGCAGGAGCTTTACCACAGCTCTCCTAAGAGCACTCACTGGTCTCAAAACTCCAGGAGACACCCCAACTGAAAGCGCTAGAGCCCTCCCCTCATGTACTCATTTGAATCAACAATTTCCTCCCAGATAATGGAAAAACCCTTGACTTCCGAATCAGCTCTGCACAGGCAAAATGAAAATGTACTTGTTATTATTGGTTAGTGGCAATACAACAAAGTGGAAAATGAAGTACTGAGAAAAGATGCGCATGTGGTCAGGTGCTCTGGACTCTCAGATGATGACCTTACATTTCTAGACAAGGAAGGAGGAGGGGAAAGTATTTAAAAGTGAAAAGGAGAATAAATATTTGAGAAACTAAAGAAAGTAAATATTTGGCAATGACTTTGACCATTGCAGCCACTGCAAACAATTGCTTCTGATCCACTTTGTTCTTTGGGGTGAGGAGTGTCTTCAGGGAGGTAACTGTAAAAGTCTGGAAACCTCAGTCATTTCTACTTTTTTCAAGTTCTTGTTATCCGGGCTAGTTTAGTCTTCCCCAGTTCACCTTCTACCAAATAACCACTTTCCTAAACAATAGTGTCCTGCATCCATAAAAAGGACACTGGAAAATGATTGCTAAGAGGAGGTACCATCTCTGAGTGCCCAAAGTCAGGCATCTTGACAAGTGTTTTACACGTATAAGCTCCAAGTCTTTGCAACAAACTGTAAGTCATTGATATTTTGGAAGGAGAACCACACAGCTCTAACATACTTCACTTGTAACTCAAACTTTCTGACTCCAAAATTTTTCCTCTTCTCTGTTTCATGGGGCTTCAGATAATCCAGGCTGCTACTACTGTTAGGTACTACCCAACTTTCCTCCTAACCAAGTTCCTCTTTTTCTTAATTTTGTATCTTAAGCATCACGTAGCACCTAGGAATCTTGCCTGGAGACTAAATATTCCTTCTAAAAGTGTTAACCTTCAAAAAAATAAATACAAAAAAAATAAAAGTGTTAAACTTGAAGACTTGTGACACTTGATGTGCTATAACTTCTATAACTTCTTTGAAGAATATGAGAGCAAAATCTTTGATTCCTTTTAAATTCTTCTACAAATATCATCTAAATTCCTCAAGTCACGGCAGCATATATCAGGGGACAAGAGCATCCTTTCTTATCAATCAATCATTTTCTTTCTTTTTTTTGTCATTTTCTCATTAATGCTCAAACTTTTAACTACAACCCCCAGAATCTAATGAAACCAATTTTTCCATAAAAATAGAAATATTATTCAATGCTTTTCAAACACAAAATGGACTTTTATTTCATTATTTTCATAAATTTCATTTCCAATTATACATATGCTGAAAGGTGGAATACCAAAGGCAATTTTTAGTCACAGCAACTCCATCATACACATGATCTGAGATTTTACTGCTTAAGTGAATTATAGTCCTCTCATGGCTTCTTGGTTGAAGAAGACAAAATTAAGATAATAGAGAGGAAAAGTGAAGAATATTCTTCTGTAGGAAATTTGCTGCACTCAAGAAAAATTTATTCATGGGTGCAGTGTCCATCTTTAAAAAGAAACCCTAAAGTTCCTAAAAACACAAGACAATATCAGTACTTTAGGTGTGTATACATTCACATATGTGTGTGAAATTTGTGCCATTAAACAACATGGAAAATGTTATTTGCTACCACAGCCAATGCAAACGTATTGTCATTTCCATGTAAGTCAAACATTGCCATTTTCCATTTCATGTTCTGCAAAAAAGCCATGTGTCTGTTGCATGAAACAAACTGTGTCATAGGCAAGAGTAACTGAAAAGGAGCTCAACAGTCTTAACTGTGCACCCCTGGAACGAGTAATATACTTTGCATAATCATGTGCAGTGTTGGAAAATGATTCTTGAACTCTTATAACTACAAGGGTTTGCAAGCTTCTATTTGTTACAATATGCCCCAAATCAGTCAATTTAGCCAAACAGTCAAGCAATAATTACGGTGAGTAATTTACAAAATGGCAAATAATCCATTTGACTAAATTGATGGTGTTTTGCTGACATGAGGACACAATCATTGTAGTGCCCTGTAAAGAAATAATTTTAAGTGGCTATTAATTTTCCCCCTTATGAAGTTGACTTAATTGCCTCCTAGGTCCTAAGAAAATACAGGTGCATAAACACAGGACTGACATTAACATACAAACAAATACCATGCTCTATGCACATTCCTCCACGGGAGAAATGTCACAAAAAGCAAACAAGGAATCTTAGGATCCAGTAGAAGAATTAGGATTATCAAATGTCTAAGACGGTATTTTACTCCAGTGATAGGCATAACATTGAAGAAAAATTCCCTTTTTCCCCTAGATTCATGTGAACATTTCAATAGTACATTTTGAAGAGTCTTCCCCAGAGAAAAGATCTGCACAGTAGGCAAGGAGTGTACTTCAGGTCAGGACATCTATTGTCTGAGGATCTAGGCTGAGGAGCTTCAAGCAGAATGTGAGTCCATTTTATCAAGACAACTTGCTTCTGCAGACAAAAGCTATCGACTACAAAAAGCCCTCTGAAGAAAGTGTGAATCTTCTTTGGCATATTAAATACTTCACATGCACATTTTTTTCTGTGCAGATGATCCTTCAGGACTACTTCTTCTTCTTAAGATAATGTTTTATTGTTTTCATCTATTAGTGTGTGATTTCACCCTGCACTGGAGAGCCCTCAGAGTGAATTTCAAATAACTAAGTATTGTTTAACCTTGAGAAAAGAGAAATATTGAAAGTATTCCAGGTTATTGTATTCATTAAGGTGTCAGGCCCGGGTGACATGTTCACAAGATTAAAAGGCTTTCCAGATTCTGATCATTTCGTAAGTCTGAGGTCTGGTTCTGTAAGTTATAAAAACTAGGCTCAATTTTAGCCTCTCTTAGCTTTTTAAAATTCCTTACATGTCATTTTCTAGTAATCTTTGTTCCTACCCAAATTTCAATAGCAAGGCAAAAGAAATAAGTTTTTTTCCTCTTTCTCTAATATAGTTTTTAGGGCTCTCATTGCTTTTTGAAGACTTCCAGACAAGGAAACTGGTTCTCTTGGTTACTTTATAGTTTCACACAGAAAGGAGTCACAGATGGGAAGGAGAGTGCACATGACTATCAGAAAATGTCTCATGCATTTTAAGATTTTTTTACAAGTCAAAATATACAATCTCCTATTGCCCCCTCATTCCTTGGCTGTATAAGAATCATTCCTACTTGATGTCTCTTTTACAGCTCCCTGACTTGGATGAGGAATAAAGATGCTTTTCTTGTTAAAGAAGAGCATACATCTAATAGTAACCAGCGAAAACAATTGCATTAATAAGACATATAGCAGCAATTTGGGCTGAGCCCTCCCTCATGCCCTCCATTCACGGGGATTCAGTGTGTGAAAGGATAGGTTCATAAAATTAGGAGGAAGAGGAAAAGGCAATCTGCAGACTTTGGCACTAGCACACATAATGTTTTGTTTGTTAGAGCTGTAGTTTGATAATCGCTACACAGGAATTAAAAAATTAGAAATCTGCAGAAAACAACTACAGGTGTTGATTCTCAGTGTAACTCTCCCCATCTCCCCTTCCCACCCACCCACTTCCATAGAGTTTCAATTATAATAAAAATAGAGATCTTAGCATCAGAATTTTTCTGTTAATTCTTCAAGGTTTCTCTGTGCCATCCACGCCACATTTAGGGTCTGAAGCACCAAATCCACAACTTTCTCCAATCAAGTTTAAATAAGTAAAACTGAAGACTGAAGATGCCAAAATAACTGTTCTTAAATTAGGCTGTAACACAACGTTCTCCCCAACACACAGGGTAATGAGCATCAAGTACTGCCAGGCTGGATGTAGATCTGTCTCAGAGAGGCTTCGCCCTACGACTACGAAGGGCCACTGGCTCTGGAGGACATCACCATCCAGGACCCCAAGGCAGTGCAGGACCGCCCTAGCCATCATCAATTTTTAAAAGTCGCAACCCCATTTGTGATTGGCTGCGGCAGGATCTGTGCTCAGCGGAGCTGGAGGGGAGGAGGCGAACCTGCTGCTCAGCAGGAGAGCTCTGCATTTAGTTTGCACTGTTCTGCTTCCAGAGCTCCTCGAAGGGCTGTCCTGGCTTCTCAGGACCCACTGCCCTTGCCCAGCAGAGAGCGCATTGCTCCGACCTAGTAACAGCAAAGAAGATTCCACCTACCTGTGGAAAGACCCAACTTGGTCCCCAAAGGTCGCTTGGGCGACCCCACTGCAATGGGCAAGTCAGGTTGTGCACTTAAAGTGTATCAGTTTATGGAACGCCTGTTTGAAGTCCTCGTTGGACATGGTGTAGATGATAGGGTTGATGAGGGAATTCAGGTAGCCCAGCCAGTTGAAGAAGTCAAAGATGGCCATGTGGAACCAGCAGGCATCCTTGCAAATGGGCATCACCAGGGAGATGATGAAGAAGGGCAGCCAGCACACAATAAACGCTCCCAGGATGACTCCCAGGGTCTTGGTGGCCTTGCGCTCCCTGGCGGCCATGAGCTTCTTCTTCTCCAGCAGGGCGTCAGACACTCGCACTTTGACCTGGTTCACGTACACAGGAGACCCGGAATCGCAGGGCACCTCGGGAGCCCGGGAGTTGGTAGAAGTGACTGAAGACGTAGACCCGGGAGAGTCCGTTATCAGCTGGGCTCGGGTCAGGCGCTTACCCGTCCTGTTGGGCGATTGCTTCAAAATCCGGGAGCGCGCCTCCACGTAGATGCGGCCGTAGAGGGCGATGAGGAGCAGGGTAGGCAGGTAGAAGGCACCCACCGTGGAGTAGACGGTGTAGAGGACGTGGTCGGTGTTCACCAAGCAGTCCAGCACCTCCTCCTCCGCTTTGGCCTGGCGCCAGAAGAAGGGCGGCAGCGAGATGCAGATGGAGAAGACCCACACCAGCGCGATCATGCCCGCCGCCCGCCGGGGCGTCCTCCGGGCCGAGTAGCCCACCGCGTCCGTGATGGCCCAGTAGCGGTCCAGGGCGATGACGCACAGGTGCATGATGGACGCCGTGCAACAGGTGATGTCCGACGACAGCCAGAAGTCGCAAAGTGCCTGGCCCAGCGTCCAGCGGCCAGTGACCGTGTACATGGTACTGATGGGCATCACCAGGATAGACACGAGCAGGTCGGTGACCGCCAGGGACGCGATCAGGTAGTTGGCCGGGGTGTGCAGCTTTCGGGTGCGGTACACGGTAGCGATTACAAAGGCGTTGGAGAGTGTGGTGGCCAGGGTGATGAGCGCCAGCAGCACCGCCAGCAGCACTTTCCAGGGCAGGGCGATGGAGTCCTGGTAAATGTGGCTCGGGGCGCTGCAGTTGTTGGGAGGCGCGGAGGAGAGGTTGGTGTGCGGCAGCCCGGCCTGGGCGCCCGCGATCGGCGGCGGGGTGCACGAAGCCTCCGGGTTCCCCATGGCTTTCCTTGCCCAGGCACTGGAGCGCAGATCTCGGGCATGGGGCGGACGCGCGAGAGAGTGCGGATGCTGGGGAGAGTGCAAGACGGCAGGACCATGGAGACCACGGGCTCCTTCGGCCTGGCCGGCAGCGCGGGGGCTCCTCGGTGCCTCCCCCGCCCGGGCTCCGGTGAGCACCCGAGGTCACGGCGCGCAGCCCCGCTGCAGGGCGCGTCCCGCTCCCAGCGCGCCAGGCGCCGCGCGCGTCTCGGATCGCTCCTCTGCGCGCCGGGCTCTGGAGGACTGGCGCCCCAGTCCAGCTCCGCCCGGCTCCTCAGGCACGTCGTGGGGGGCCTCCGGGAGGGGCTGGGGCCGAGCGGGATCGCTCCCCGCAATCGCTCAGGACTGAGTGCTAACCTGGGCGCTCGGGGATCTGCAGACTCCGCCCGCACGAGTTTGCCGGCGCTCCCGCCCGCCGTGTGCAGGCCCGCGAGGGGTCCGGGTCCGGCATCCCCGCGCCGCGGGTCCGGGCACTGTCCTGCGGCCGCAGGGGGAGAGGTCGAGCCGCGCCCTCTTCACGCCCGACCCCTGGGCGCGAGCCCGCGGGGATCCGCCCGCACCCGGCGGGGCTGCCCCTCCGCCCGGGTGCCCCGAGCGCCTCAGCGGGCCATGGAGTGCGCGGTGCGGGTCTGGGACCCGCGGGGAGCTGAGTGGCCGGGGTTTGGGGCGGCAGCGGGACCCGGTGCTGGCGGGGAGCAGTGAGCGTGGCGCCGCAGGGCTCTTTATAGGGTCCCGGACCCGGGCGCCCGAGCCCTGCAACTCTTGCGGCGCGGCTGTCGCGGGCGCCCGCTCCCCATCGCCGTCCTTTCCTCTCTCTCCGGTTTTCCTCAGCCCCGCTCCCCTCCCGGCCCAGCAAGCTCCCGCCGGGTCCTATTGCCCTGGCTTCGCGATCCTACCCCCTAACCCCGTTCCCAGCCCTGCGTGGAGGTCGCGTTCCGGGCGCGAGGGGCGCTGCGGGCTTCTCAGTAGCAGCCAGACCCACGCCCCCAGCCTCCGCCGCACGTCTAGTCGTCTAGCCGTCTAGTCCGGGCGTCCCAGGCTGGGCTTCTGCTCACGCCCAGCCCCTCCCGGAGACCAGTGCTAGGCGGAGCTGGCCCCAGTCTCAGACCTCCCCAATCCGGAATTTTATCCTTCAGGAGAGCCACACCCAGGTTAGAGGGAGGCGCCAATGATATCGCCTTAGAAGGAAACAGCCAATACTGTCTGTGCGTGTTATACTTTGGGCTTCAGGCTCCAAGTCATCCTTCGCTCTTGGTACATTAAAAACTAGTATTTCCTATCTAGGTTTAGAAATTTGTGCTTGTCATCCAATCCCTCATCTTTAACTTTGTGAGTCAACTTGGCAGAAGGTGCTGAAATAAAAGTGTCACAAGCGAAACCAAGTGTATGTGAAATTAAACCTTCCACTCCACCCTCCCACTCCGCTGTTCAGCAGTTCCGTGCTTCGGGAAAACAGTTCCCAGTGAGCAATTTCCTTCCCGCAGCTCGCCTAGAAAAAGAGGTCATCAGAATTCAAGAAAAGCTGGGCGTCCTTAGCAGGCCTCCTTTGCACTCGACAAAGACATCTGGACGCCATCCATAGGCTGTGACACGTACAGCAGTAGTTCGGTCCCACAACCCCTAGCAGAGTCCTTGCGCTCAGCTTCTCCAGCCTCGACAGAAACAAATGCAGGGTAGAAATCAGAAAATGTAAAGCAAAGAACCAGAATGCAACACATCTTCAGTACTAAACGATTCCCACTGGGTCTTCCTTGGCCCCGGGTAAGTGTTTGGCATGTGAACGCATCTAATGAAAAATCATACTGTAATTGATTTTATCAGGGTAAGTGCAAGTGTGTTTTAAAGAGAACCATTCGGTCTCAGAGCCAGAGATTGGGAGATTATCTAATCTATCCATACAGTTTTAGGGGAAATGTAATTGAGATCCTTCGCAAGAAGCGCCCTTTCCCAAGTGACATGCCCTCAGCCCCAGTTCTCCTATTCCCTGACTCTAAACAGTTAGGCCATCAAGCAAGCACTCCAGCAAAGGAGCCAACCTAGCGTCCCTCCTCCACGCTGGGCTTGCATTCTAGGAGAGGCAGATACAGTAAGTACTTGGGCCAGTCGACAGTGAATACACTTTCAAATAGCAGTAAGTGTCACGGAGAAAATAAGACACAGCCATGTATTGAGAGGGTGCTGCTTTATCTAAGGTGACAGCTCTCCAAAGATGTCCTCTAGACAGAGTGGCTGTGGTAGCCGCCCTGAGAATCAGAGCACGACCTGCTCTCTCCCCCGTGCCAGCTCCTGGCGCCCAGCGCTCCTCCCGCAAGTGAAGCTGGTTTCCCCCGCAATTCAGGGGTCTCATGACGCCCACCCAGTTTGCAAAGTAATGAAAGCAGGCGCCTAGCTAGATGACATTACTTTGCAAACTGCGGCCCTGTCTGAAACCACAGGCAAGGAAAGGGAGCAGGCGAGCAGAGACCGCTAGGTGGGGGCGTTGTCCAGGCTGCGGCTGCAGTGTGTGCTGCGGGTGGGGCGCCGCGGCGCAATTTTCCTGCCATCTTAGGAAAGCAGCGAAGGACTGGAGAGGCGTAGGACGGAGAGGAGTGCTATCCGCTGCCAGCGGCCTTTCCTTCTCTTATTTCTGCTCCAGCAGCACCTGCAGGACAAAACCACTTGTTCCCCTAGGGCTTGCGTGCAGGCTGGGCGAACCTGTGGCGCGCTCCCTCCGGGTCCGCTGTTGCGCAGAGCCTGGCCGCTGCGCAGAATCTCCCGCCTCTGGAGGAGTTTCGTTTTTATCCTCTTTGGTTCACAGTTGCGCAAACCGGGCCGCCAAGCTGAGGGGATTTTGGCCGGGGTCGGCAGAAAAACAAATCCCGTTTACATGGCTTCTGCATTGCATTCATACCTTGGAAAGCACACAGAAGGTTAAAGGTTTGCACTTGAGCTCACGTGTGCGAAACAATCAAGAAAACAGACAACGCTGAGTTGCCCATGACCGCGTCCTCCAGCCCCTGCGGAGGGCTTGCCTGCCGCTTTCTGCGCTGGCTTCCTCGAAGTTTTTGGCTAGTTCGGCAGACACAGACTCATTAAAAGAGGCGGGAGGAAAGCAGCCTCTGGCAAAGGGTTGGGATGGGGAACCAGTGCTCAGTCAGAGTTATCTGGGTGGATCAAAACTCCTGTTTGACAACAAAATATGGGCAAGCACTGCTCATTGAAGTGCTTTCTTATCAGTTGCACATCTGTGGACTTCCAGCAGAGGCTGAGTAATCTGAGGATAATTCCGGACCTGCAGTGAAGTCTGTGATCAGACAGGAAGCCAGACATGTACTGAGCTACCTGAGGGCGGGGAAGAGTTGCAAAGGGACAGTGGAGAACAACCCCTCAAGCCCCCCCCCCCCTCAAGGAGACCTCCCCTTTGCCGGAAGCATGCTGTGCCGCTCTGGCAGGAAGAGCCAGATGCAGACTGGAAGGTTTCAAACACTCCTACCCAGACCAGATGCTGTGAAGGGAAGCCCTTGCCCCAGAATTCACCCTCTAGGGACACCCAAAGCACCTGTCTCCACTCTGCCTGGGAAGGAAACTGCAAACCTCTGCCCAAATCCGCTGGAAGCATCTACACACATTCCCTAGCCCAAGATGGGGAGACCTAGACAGCGACTGCTTTCAAATCCTGATTCCTCAGTCTACTGCCTGTGTCTGTATTTCTCACCCTGGAAATGAACCGAAGGAGCCCCACTCAGCCCCCAGCACTACATAGCACCCTCACCTGTGGTGGTGACCCGTTTCCAGGTGCTCTTACACTTACTTCATCCCATATCTGTATTTTCAATCTATTTGTAGCGATGAAAGAACAGAAAGGTCTACACCGTATCTTTGTTCTTCCTTTCCTTGGTGTCTTGCTTAATGAAAGTATGGAAATGTTCAAATAAGTGAACACACACACACACAATGTTTCACAGACAAATTCTAGGGATTTCCCAAATCCTTTTCCATCTTTACTGGCCTCCCCATGAGCTTTTGAGCTGTTGTATCATGATACTTATGCACTATCTGCTTCATTAAGAATTATTAAGCCTTGTGAAATAATAAAAGTAGTGCACTATTCTCTAAACACTAGGCTGGTGTAAATTAATCCCTCAAATTTAGTAACTGTACTATGTGTCTTTATATGGATACAGATATTATATAGGCCATATTTATATTTGGGGATGAATGCAACAAAAATTAAAACAAATATATTTAACTTATTTTCTAATGGCTATCTTTGTAGTAACGGATGCTTTACTACTTTGAACAGGTGCCTGCAATAGGTAGTTTCGGTTGTTTCAAAGTCAGTCAATTCCAAATAGCTAACTCCTAGATAAGGTATAAATCACAGCTGTTCTAGTGGAAAACCTAGTTCTGAGGAGAAATTTCCTGATTTAAAGTTACTATTAAGTAATATAAGTCCAGGTTGCATAGGAAATGATGTGATGAATTATTCTTCTTAGACAAAGAGTGAGACTGAGCAATAATAAAAACTTTTTGGATAGAAAAATAATGCCAATGAATCTACCAAAGTTAAAGGCAACTGGTTAGCTAAATGTAGTGGGCATGCCTGTGACCCCAGCACTCTTGGAGGCTGACTCAGGAGGATTGAAAGCTTAAACCCATCCCAAGTAACTTAGCAACTTAGTGAGCACCTTTCTCAAAATGAAAGACTTGGAATAGAGATCAGTGCAGAGAGCCTGAGTTCAATCTCTAGTAGCACAAAACAAATGAACAAAAACTTGCTGCTTTAAATTGGCAGTGTCAAAAAAAAATAATTGGCAGTGTTATTTCGATGAAGTTGTCCTCCAGCCTAAGGAAAGAGCAGCAGAAACGATGCTTTCTACATTGAAAATAAGAGGTTTGTCCTTATTTTGAAAACAGAAACATTATCCTGCAGGTTAGTTTGTCTTTCAAAGACAGTAAGCCAAGCTGGGTTTTATTGCTTCTATACCTGTAATTCATGAATAATAATCATTATCCATTATTGAGAACTATGAACTAAGCCATATGCTATGCATTCCGCATACAT